TTGGGCCACTATCGGCGAGGAATAGGCGATTCGGGGTCGACGCACCCCCCCTTTGCCTCATCCCCACTGATCGTTGCCGATTGACTTTCGGACCATCACTCGCCTCTAGGGCGGCCATTCGGGACGAGTCCAGCACCCCCGGAGCGCCATCGGCGAGGCGCAGCTGATGGGAAGCATCCCGTGGCTGAACAACCGCCGAGAATACCGAAAACGCCAGAGCCCCCACAACCCCCCAATCGTTGCCCCTGACGACGTTACTTCCACGCTGCCTATCCCCCCCCCTTTCGCTGCCCCTGGCTCCCTGGACTTCTCCTGGGAATGAGGTGGGTGGACGTGGAGGTGGAGGTGGAGGAGGAGGAGGAGGAGGAGGAGGATGAGGAGGAGGAGGAGGAGGAGGAGGGAGGATGGAGGAGGAGGGGGAGGAGGAGGAGGAGGAGGAGGAGGAGGAGGAGAGGAGGAGGAGGAGGAGGAGGAGAGGAGAGAGGAGGAGGAGGAGGAGGAGGAGGAGGAGGAGGAGGAGGAGGAGGAGGAGGAGGGAGGAGGAGGAGGAGGAGGAGGGAGGAGGAGGAGGAGGAGGAGGAGGAGGAGGAGGAGGACGACGACGACGAGGAGGAGGAGGGGGAGGGGGAGGAGGAGAGGCGGAGGAGGAGGAGGAGGAGGAGGAGGAGGAGGAGGGGAGGAGGAGGAGGAGGAGGGAGGAGGAGGAGGAGGAGGAGGAGGAGGAGAGGAGGAGGAGGAGGGTGGAGGAGGAGGAGGAGGAGGGAGGGGAGGAGGAGGAGGAGGAGGAGGAGGGCGGAGGAGGAGGGAGGAGGAGGAGGAGGAGGAGGAGGAGGAGGAGGAGGAGGAGGAGGGAGGAGGGGGAGGGGGAGGGAGGAGGGAGGAGGGAGGAGGGAGGAGGGAGGAGGGAGGAGGGAGGAGGGAGGAGGAGGGAGGAGGGAGGAGGGAGGACGGAGGAGGAGGAGGGGAGGGAGGAGGAGGAGGAGGAGGAGGAGGAGGTGGAGGAGGAGGAGGAGGAGGGGAGGGAGGAGGAGGAGGAGGAGGAGGAGGAGCGGCCGAGCCGAGGCCGTGGCACTCCGCGGTCTCGCCCGCGCGGCACACGTCCGCGGGGCAGGGCAGGCAGCCTCCCGGGCGGGCGTCCGGGGGGGTCAGCAGGCCCAGGCGGGCGGGGGATCCTCCTCCTCCTGCTGCTGCTGCTGCTCCTCCTCCACCTCCTCCTCCCTCCTCCTCCTCCTCCTCCTCCTCCTCTCCTCCTCCTCCTCCCTCCTCCTCCTCCTCCTCCTCCACGCTCCTCCTCCACGCTCCTCCTCCTCCTCCTCCTCCTCCTCTTCCTCCTCCTCTGACCTCCTTCTCCTCCTCCCTCCTCCTCCTCCTACCTGCTCCTCCTACCTGCTCCTCCCTGCTTCTCCTCCTCATCCCTGCTCCTGTTCCTGCTCCTGCTCCTGCTCCTGCTCCTCCTCCTCCTCGTCCTCCTCCTAGAGATTTGAAGAGCATCACGCGCATCAAAACAGGCATAAAGCGGATTCCCATCATGCACATGACAGACAAAGACGGCGCCAATCGCACGACAAGACAAGACTTTGCTGACGCTTCCGCAGGATTCTACGAAACCTTGACGACTCAACGGCAGAGACGACGCAGCCGGAGCGACCTGACGACGACCTACCACTTTTCACAAGACCAGAGGTAGACAAGGCGATCAGAGGGTTCCGACTTGGCAAAGCCCCCGACACCAAGGGCCTCAGAGAAGAGATGCTGAAAGAAGGCACGGAGGAACTCAAAGATGCATTGCTACACCTGAGACGCCTTAAGGGGGGCCGCCGGGCAGGAGAGCCCAGCTTCGGGTCGACACGAATCGGATCGGCGATCGACGCGGATCGGATCGCCAGGACTCTGCGACCGGGCCAGGGAAAGTCGAGTCGGCGGACATCGGCAGGTTAGCACACGTCGTGCATTTCTGATTGTGCTCGTTTCTAAGTGTGCTCGTTTCTAATCGTTCCTGGCCCCCCCAGTGGCCAGGAAGAGGCCCAGGATAGCACAATGAGAAACGAAAGGATGCTTGCCCCCCAAAATCAGAGAACGTTCGAAGAATTAGACATGAACAGTGGGTAGGCCCCCATCGAGAAGTCGGAGCCCACACCGGAATCCGAAGTCGCGTCGAATCGGAATCGGAGGCCCTCAGAATCGAGCCGAAGCGAGCCGGAGGAATTGCGAAAGGAGCCCCGACGGGGCGCCCCCCGAGCCACCACGGACAGGATATAATTGGCGCGACGCCGGGAGGCTCCCGGCGAGGCAACCCCCGAGGGAGCCTGCCTTTGAGCCTCCAGACGACCTGCGGGGCCCATCTATATGTGTGTATATATAGATCGTTGTATTATAAAAGGTTATAGTTTACAAGATGATATTATAGTATCGTCCAGTAAACCATACTATAATGATTTGAATTCACTATATAATGATTTGAAATCACTATCATTTAGAATTTTAAAAAACTCCATTACAGTGATTTATACTATAGTGTAGTATAGCATACCATGTTACAATCTAGTGTAGCATAATATAATACAGTATGATATAATGAGTTTGTACATACATAGATAATATGTTACATCATGCCATATGTATGTTATGGTGTTATAGTATATAACAATGTATCATATATCAGCATGCTATAACATGCGTTCCGGTGCTAGATTTTAGTATGGCATGAAATATTACACTGTGTTGAAATAAAATATAAAAACATTATATAATATGGTGAACATAATATATGTAATACGATATTATACTGTATTATCTTATATAATATATAGCAGCCCCGAGGCGCAGCACGCAGCACGCGGCGTGCTGCCTGCACATCGGGGCTCAGCAACGTATAGGCCGAAGACGTGCGTCTGGCGAGGCCCGCTCGCCACAGCGTGGGCCAACGCGTGCCGGGCCGGCACGCAGACCGGACACGTACGCTTGGCGCGATGCGTTCGCCACAACGTGTGCCATCCGCGTGTCGGCGCGGAGCTTCTGAGCACGGCACGTGCTGCGTTTCAAAACGGGCGCATCGAGGCAGCTCATCACGCAGAGTGAACACGCCCGCTTGGGGCCATATACGTTCGCCACAACGTGGACCACCACGTGCCGAGTCAGCACGCAGCGTGTAGCACGGACGTGTCGAACACGGCACGCGCTTAGCGTTTCAGAACGGCAGTAGCAGGGCAGCTGCTGGCCATCGCTCGGTTGTCCATTCCCCGTGCATGTCTCGATCTCGCGCGCGTAATTCTTTCCGCCAGATAGTCCGAAAGGCTCCTCGATGGTGCCCGCGAGGAGAATGCACACGTCCGAACGATACCAAGGTCAAGATTAGGTCGAGCATGTCCTCCCGCAGGGGGATTTTGAAAGAAAGCGGGAATAGTCAAAATAGAATCAAACACTCTCCAAAAATAGCCAGAGAACCGCCACCAGACGTTGCTTTGCCTATTCTTTAGCATTCCTCCTGCACGGGGAAATGCCTGACGTGAGGCCAAGACCCCGAGAGCTTGCGATGCTTCCGGGCCCCGCGGGGTGCCTGCCACATAGGCAGTGCCGAGGGGCTTCGCCGCCAGAGGGGGGTCGCCCCACCTCTCCTCGAGGAGGAGGGGCGGGCCCCCGGGGAACCGGCCAGGCAAGAGACGCCCCCCAAGACGTCCCCGAGCCCCTCGACCCTCGACCCCAGACCCCCTCGAGTCATGAAAAAAACACGACGGGAAATTGTTCGCTATTTTCGGCCTCTGGGGGACCCTACCGGGCCTCAGGACCGTCAAAAAACGACTCGGGATGAAGAACCGGTCCCGGGGAAGGGGTCCAGACCTCTGGGGGTCGACGTGATGAACAAATCATGACGTCGGAGGTCTGGGACTTCGGTCGGGCATGGCCTCCTACTGGCGGACCTTGGAAGAGGAATCGAGAAGAAGCCAACAAGTATGACACAAACGGTCAGAACCGCACGAAAGCTCGTCCCCAGACTACTTCGTGCAAAACCACTCTCGAAGACTCCTCCTGTAGAGGGACATGGCCGACTCAAAATCTTCGACCCTCTTGCCTCCTCGATCTTCCATGTTGCTCAGAGGGCCCAGACCCCCCCTCAAACATGCACGCCGGAAGTAATTGCTCGCTGCGGTGGGGGCATTGGATAAAGAAACCTTCGACGAATAATCCACTGGTGGAACTGGATAACGAAACCTTCGATAAGGACTCCACTTTCGATAAAGAAACCTTCGATGAGGATTGGGTCTGGGAGTCCGGAAGCCGGTGCAACTCCAATCGAAACTTGGCTATGGATATCACCGCCGCCCTCATCAGATAAAGAATCCTCCAGGGCCTTAAGCCTCCTGGCCACGCTCCTCAACGAACGCCCCCACCGTATTGTCGGCCTCCAGAGGGCCCTTGCCGGGCCTCGGGGCCGTTTACAAACGACTCGGGATGAAAAGCCAGTCCCAGGAAGGGGTCCAGACCTCTGGGAGTCGGCGTTGTAACACAAATTAAGACGTCGGGGGTCTGCGGAGGTGGTGCCCCCCCCACCGACGACGACCGCACTTAGCACTGCCCGAGCAGGGGGGGGATCCTGGAAGGCCTTCTGGCCCTGGCGGTCCGGGGCGCTCTTCAGCAGCTGTGCCTCGTCGAGTGGTCTCCGCGGGCGCCAGGATCGCCCTGAACAGACGGCCAGACGGCTCAGACCTTCGGCAATCTGGGGAAGATGTAGGCCCGCTTGAACAAGCTTGAGATCCACGGCCGATGTTTTTGATTCTGGGACGCTGTAGGCCCGCTTGAACAAGCTTGAGATCCATGCGTCTCTGCATATCGGACAATTCAGGGCGACAGGGGCCTGAGCACCGCGACGAGCTGGAACGGGGCTAGAGTGTACGTGATCTGGGCCAAGTGCTGACTCACAGGGCATCGCGCACGAAACAGCAGACCGCAAGCCCAGACGGAACAGGGCAGACGCCCAGAGCCTGACACCCGACATCCTACTTCTACTGGTAGACGCCGTCCGGGAAGTACATCTCCCTCCACTGCTCCTCCGCGCTCTTGTGGTGACCCTGAGCACTGCAATACAGGCTGACGGCGCAGGCGCCGCTCTGCCCCCAGCCGGGGTCACAGCTGCCGCCGAGCCCGGTGTGCGCCGAGGGGGCGGCGCCCTGCCAAGCGCTCGGAGGGACGCCGCCAGCTGGCCAGGGGCCTGCGCTGCCCCCAGAGGCAGGCTGCTGCCGCCGCTGCTGCGCCTGGGGCCAGCCGAGCAGCTGCGCGAGGCCGGGCCCTCGTGGCCGCGGCGCCCCGCAGCCGCGGCAGGCCTCACGGCAGGCCCAGTTCCCCTCGGCGCACTGGGGGCACGCCCAATGGCTGTAGAGGCTTTCGCCCGCGGGGCCCGGCGCCGCGCGGACGCCCGCGGCGCCCTCGTCGCCGCCCACCGCCTCGCCGCTGTCGACCGGGCCCGCTCCTGTGGCGGGCGGCCCAAGCACCCCCTTGGCCTCCAGGGCCCTCAGCTGGCGCAGCCTCTTGCGCTCGGCCGCCGCCGCAGGATCCGTCGGCAGCTCGTGCAGCCCATCGCGCCCCAGCTCCTGAGCGCGCGCCCAGCAACGGCGGCAGAGCCACCAGCCCTCGTGCCGCAGGCAGTTCCGGCCGCCCCTCCACCCGTCGTGGTCGCAGCCCTCGCAGCTCCTCCACAGCACCGGGCGCCCGCCCGCCCAGTCTCGGGCGTGCGGCGGCGGCTGCGAGGACGCGGCGGTGGCCTCCTCCGGCTCGAGGGCCTGCTCGCAGAACAGCGGGAGGATCCCGTGCAGGGCCTGCGTCTCCCTCAGCCTGCAGCGCTGCTTGTGGTTGCGTATCCATCGGAAGGTGACGTTGATCCTCACGCTCTCGCGCGGATGCACCGCAGGCTCGCCAGGCGACCTCTGCTCGGACGGCTCCGCGAAGGAAGGGGGCGTGAACCTCGCGTCGCAGGGCACGAAGTGCACGCAGTGCTTCTGACAGAGCCCCTCCATGGTGAGGATGTCGCCGTGGCGCAGGTCCACTTCGACCATGGTGTTCCGGACGGGCTCCATCGAGTCGCCTGTCCTTGAGAGGCAACTTTAGGGGGGGGGGGACTGGCTCAGGGACATCGACCTGGAATCGGCAATACATTGCCGATAGATCGGCGAGAGGCCACTGATGGCGAAACCGCACGGTCCTGGGCGGGGAGGGCCATCGGGCCCCCCTTTCGGTGATGAGTGGGCGATTGGGGGTCGACGCATCCCCCTGACCCCCTATCCCCCCTACTAACGTTGCCCCTCCTCCTCTTCCTCCTCCTCCTCCTCCTGCTCCTCCTCCTCCTCCTGCTCCTCCTCCTCCTCCTCCTCCTCCCTCCTCCTCAGCCTCCCCTCCCTCCTCCCTGAGTCCTCCTCCTCCTCCTCCTCCTCCTCCTCCTCCTCCTCCTCCTGAGTCCTCCTCAGAGCCATCCAGAATTCGCGCTGGGCGCCGAGGGACACGGACACGATGGGGCAGTCGTGCTCCCTCCCCATGAACAGCATCTCGTCGTCCGCGTGCCAGCCGATGGACTGCCCGGTGGTCGTGTACAGGTTCAGGTTGGCACAGTTGGGCCAGTGCTCCGGCGGCAGCCACGGCCACAGCCGCGTGAAGATAGCCGAAGAGGGGAGAACGACATGGCCATAAACCGTCGGAGGTCCGCGCGGCTCTCTGGGATCGGGGCTGGGCCACCGCGGCGGCGCCCTCGACGAAGCCCCTGGCGCGCTCCGCGCGCCATGGAAAGGGGGGCCCCAGCGCCGATCCGAGGACTCCGCGCGGAGCTCCGAGAGTCCCTGCGGCTGCCGACGCCTCCTCTTCGAGCGCTCGTTGCCTTCAGGTCCTCCAGGGCCTCCTCGAACTCCGCGCTGGGCCTCCGCGAGGCGCACACGCGCGCCGTGCCGTACGTGTACGTGCACGTGCAGCCGCGCGCGACGTGCCAGCAGGTCATGCGCGACACGCGGCCCCGCTGCCCGGTGAGCTCGGCCCACGGCGCGCCGCGGCGCAGCCGGTCGAAGGCTCCCTGCGCCTCTCGGGAGCGGCAAAGAGGGGGGCGTCAAAGAGGCGGGGGTGCAAATCATGACCGGCGGCACGTGCGCGGCCCAGCGGGGGGGCCAGGGACGTAATGAAATAAGAAGAGGCGCCATGAAACCTGGGGAAACATCATGGCCCGCGCCATGATATCCCCCCCCCCTAGTCATCACCCCCCTCTCTGCCGCCCCCGAGCCTCGGCCTCCGTCAGCGCGCCCGCCCAGTGCGACGCGAAGCAGCGCCGGGAGGGCTCGGAGAGCAGCGCGCTGGGCTGCGGCGCCCCCGAGCCCGGGCGGGCCCGCCCGAGCAGCACCAGCGGCTTCTGGGAGAGGCTGGCCTCCGAGCACGGCTTCGCCGATGCGTATCCCCACGGGCGTGGCCTGGGCCCCAGAGGCCGAGTTCCCCCCCCTGAGCTGCCTGGGTGGGTCTATATATATATATATATATATATATATATATACATACATACATACATACATACATACTTACAAACATGCATACATACATACATACATACATACATACATACATACATACATACATACTGAAGGGGCCCAAGGACACACAAATCAATACACACAAGTAAAAGGATCCCCAATATTTTCCCAGATGTTCTGGGTTTTTGTCTCCCCCCCCACTTCCCATATTTTCCCATATCTTCCTGGGAGTCGACGATTAATTGTGTCTGTGGTTTTTTCCCTCCTGATATATGTGTATATAAATATATACACAGAATTATCGGCAGATATACAAATATACCTGGGGTGTCCTATATATATATATATATAGATGTATATATATATATATACACGCAAGACGTCATGCGCGCGTTTCGCGGGCCGTCCAATCGTGGCCTTCCTTTCAAAAGCGAGCTCTGAGAATCGTTGTGTGGGGCGCCCCGGATCGGTGTTTGTGCAGCAGCGCATGGATAGATACCGCGGTGATTGCGCACATCTTGGCGCGCGCTCTCAAAGACATGCGTTCGGGAAAGACTGCGCGCGCCGGAAGTATGGCATATTCTCACGTGGCGGGCGTTTTCCGGGCATGAAGCGGGCGGGCGTTCAGTTACGTGGTGTCGAACGTCATCTTGGGGGGTAAAGGCTTGAAGCGTCAGTGCGTATTCCATGTCTTGGACATCTGTTGGGGCCTCTTCCTTGGACTGCCTCGGAGGCCCCTGGGGCCGTCTTGGGACTTCTTGGGCCATCTTGGGGCCCTCCTTGCGGCCTCGTGGGCCGTCCTGGGCAGACCCTGCACGCTGCTTGGGCCCGGGGGCTCTTTCGAAGGTTCGGGGAGCCATGGGGGAGCCTCCGAGCGCCTGGGAGGTGTCCAACTGGCGGCGCGCGCTTGGCCTGGCACGTCGCGCTTGGCCTTCGGAGCGAGGTTACTTTCCCCCTGGCGGGGCTGCTCCGTAGCTCTGGAGGGCGGCTGGGCCAGGAGCCATGCGTAGTCGGTCCGCGGCGGAAGGAGGCTGGGCCTGGGGCCGCTCTGCGGCGGCTGGGCTTCTTGGCGATGGTCCTGGCGACCTTCGAAAGCTTTTGGATCACTCTTGAAGGCATGTGGGGAAATCCGTGAGGCGTTTTTTCATGCGTTGCTAGGGCCATTTGGGGCCATTGAGGGCATGTGGGGAATTCCGTGAGGCCTCTTGGAAGCCTTTTGGTTATCCTGGGGCCTTTCGGGGGCGTCTCGTGGGCCTCTCGGGGGCTCTTGGGGCCATCTTGGGGTGGAGAGCTCGGGGGGGCCCTTCCGAGCCTTCCGAGTTCCTCATTTGGGGCTCCTGCTGGGGCCATCTTGGAGGTCTCGTGGGCTCGTCCTGGGAGTCTTTGGGGCCATCTTGGGCCGCTCATGAGCTATCTTAACACGTTTTGGAGGCTTCGTGGACCGTCTTGGGGCGATCTCTTGGGTGTTTCTTGGGAGGTTCGGGACGCTCTGAAAGCGAAGAAACGGCTTTTGCTGGAAATGTGTGCTTGGCGTGAGGATTGGGATGATTGTTGCGTCTTGGGGCCCTCTTGGGGGTCCTCTTGGGGCAGGCGTCAAGTGCATTTGGGGTCTGGTGCGTTGCATTGACGCCAGCGCGGGCCGTTTTGAATGATTTTGGGCCGTACTGGAACAAATGCACGGCGCGACTTGGCCGTCGGGTGGGGCATGGAAACGATCGGGATCCGTCCGTCGGAGCTGTGCTGAAAGCGCTGGGGGTGCGCGCGAAGGGGCCGAAAAACTTTCGGTGTCGGAAGTGTGGGGGCCATCCCCAAAAATGCGGTCATAGTAGAAGGGATCTGTGTTGTGTATATGTATATGTATGTATGTATGTATGTATATATATACATATATGTATATATGTATATATGTGTGTATATATATATATACACATGTATGTATATGTGTATATATTCCTCTTCCTATAGTTTTGCACGCCCGGGGGGAGGGGGGGACACAACCATCACCCCCCCAAAAAAAACTGGACCCCCGGGATCTGGGGTTCTCGGGCTCCCTTGGACGTCCTTGGAAAAGGTCACCCGGCTTTCCGGGGCTCCACAAACGGTTTGCCAGCAGACCAAGAGCGATCCGAGGGGTCATCAGAAAGGCTCAAGGGAGGCCCCAGGCAGCACAAGAGCGCTCCAAGAGGGACTCCAATTGCGTCAGGACGGCCCAAAAGACCCCCAAGGCACCCCCAAAAGCTTCCCAAGGGGCCTTCAAAGCACAAATATCGTCCCATTCCTGTCGTAAAACTTACAATTTTAGCAGGTTCGCCTTTCGGATTTCATCAGCTTTCAAGACGGTTTCAAAGCCCCCGAGATCGCCTCAAGGCGCCCCAAAAGGCCCCCAAGAAAGCTTCAAGACGGCCGAGCCGGGCCCCACGATCGCCCACGAGAGCCCCAAGACAGCCCATAATGGAAGCAAGAGGCCCCCCAAGGGCTCCCAGCACAGACCCAAAAGGGCCATGGGAGGTCCCCAGAAGTGCCCAGGATGGGTCCAAAGGGGGCTCCAGCGGGCCCCAGCTCCCCAATGACGGCCCAAGAAGGCCCCAGGATGGCCCATGGAGGCGCCAAAACGGCCCACGAGGGCCCCGAAAACACCCCCACGATGTTTCTGAATGCCAACATCAAGCACCCCAAAAAGCTTTCCAAGGGGCCTTCAAACTACAAAAATCGCCCCATCCCCTTTCGTAAAGCTTACAAGTTTAGCATATTTGCCTTTCGGATTTCATCAGCTTTCAAGACGTTTTCAAAGCCCCCGAGATTGCCTCAAGACGCCCCAAAAGGCCCCCGAGAAAGATTCAAGACGGCCGAGCCGGGCCCCACGATCACCCATGAGAGCCCTCAGACAGCCCATAATGGAACCAATAGGCCCCCCAAGGGCTCCAAGCACAGATCCAAAAGGACCATGGGAGGTCCCCGGAAGTGCCCAAGATGGGTGTAAAGGGGGCCCCAGCGGGCCCAAGCTCCCCAAGACGGCCCAAGAAGGCCCCAGGACGGCCCATGAAGGCGCCAAAACGGCCCACGAGGGCCCCGAAAACACCCCCACGATGTTCCCGAATGCCAACATCAAGACCCCCAAGGCACCCCAAAAAGCTGTCCAAGGGGCCTTCAAAGCACAAACATCGTCCCATTCCCTTCGTAAAACTTACAATTTTAGCAGGTTCGCCTTTCGGATTTCATCAGCTTTCAAAACGGTTTCAAAGCCCCCGAGATCGCCTCAAGGCGCTCCAAAAGGCCCCCTTAGAAAGCTTCAAGACGGCCGAGCCGGGCCCCACGATCGCCCACGAGAGCCCCAAGACAGCACATAATGGAAGCAAGAGGCCCCCCAAGGGCTCCCAGCACAGACCCAACAGGGCCATGGGAGGTCCCCGGAAGTGCCCAAGATGGGTCCAAAGGGCGCTCCAGCGGGCCCCAGCTCCCCAAGACGACCCAAGAAGGCCCCAGGACGGCCCATGAAGGCGCCAAAACGGCCCACGAGGGCCCCGAAAACACCCCCACGATGCTTCCGAATACCAAAATGCATTGATTTTGCTCCCATGACATTTCACATTGTGACCCAGTCGTTGAGGGTCTCGTGGCATGCAGCGAAGATGCCCGAGGATGCCCCGTACGAGTTGCATATGGATGTTCATACCTTTACACAAATATTGTTTTATGTAGTACGCTGTGCACACATACAACAATGTAAGTATATTGTATATACCTAGACATTTATACGGAACGTGCATGCACGTGCGCGTGTATACATGCATGTGCGCATGTACGCACGCACGCATTCCGCTTGCGTGCAGAACTCAAAGTACCAAGGTGCATGGCGCGCAGCGCCAATGCAGTCTTGTATATATGTAGATATATGCATATATATATATATCCACACATATATATATATATATGTGTGTATATATAAGTATATATATATATATATATAT